AGTTTCTGATCATATCAGCGGTTGGAGGTGTTATATATATTGGTGACCGTCAAATATACGCTTCAGGGTTTACTCGCTCCCTGCGTACATTCGGAACCGGACTGCTTGTGGCCTTTGATTACAAGCTTAACTTTCGACCGCAGCCCATTACAGGCGGAACAGTACAGGATTTGCATAACCGTAATGCCGAACGTTTATTCCACGTCCTGCGCTCCAACGGCGGCCTTTACCTCAAGATTGGACAGGCCATCGCAATGCAGAGCGCCGTGCTCCCGCCCGAGTTCCAAAAGATGTTCAGTCGCATGTTTGACGATGCGCCACAAGACGACTGGGCCGATATTGAAGCAGTGATACGGCAGGATTTTGGAAAGAGTGTCGAAGAAGTATTCGGCGTTAGCTTTATAGGCAAGGACGGTATGGGTCTGATGGAACGCAAGGCTCGGGCGAGTGCAAGTGTTGCCCAGGTTCACTGGGCTAGACTTCCAGATGGTCGAGAAGTGGCCATCAAGATCCAGAAGCGAGAGATTGCTAAGCAAATATCATGGGATCTGTGGGCTTTCAAGTGAGTTCGGCACATACTGAGCTAGTACACATGCGTTTATTAACACAAGACAGAACCGTTGCATGGATCTACTCAAAATGGTTCGACCTTCCATTGTATAAAATGGTGCCCTTCATCACTGAGCGGCTTGAGTTGGAGACTGATTTCGTCAACGAGGCAAAAAATTCGGAGAAAATGAGGGAGCTTGTCAATGGAGAGAAGTCTCTGAGAGGACGAGTCTACATTCCTACAGTATACTCCGAGTTTACGACAAAGCGAGTTCTCGTGACTGAATGGATCGAAGGTATAAGGCTTTGGGACAAGAAATCCATGACGTCTAGATGGCTTGGGGGGCATGGGAACGGCTCACCCGGCGCTGGAAGCCCACTGCCTAATATCGATCTCGAATCCGCTCGACGCGAGCTTCGCACACGGCCCTACCAGGAAAATCTCAAACCGGAACGTCAAGAATGGCGAGGTCGACGAGGCCGAGGTGGACTGGGTTTGTCCCCGCGAGAGGTCATGACTACGATGGTAGACCTGTTCTCAGCACAGATCTTCAAATGGGGAGTTGTTCACTGTGATCCTCATCCAGGCAATATTTTCATCAGGCGTTTGCCCAATGGCCGAGCAGAGCTTGTGCTTATTGACCATGGGCTATACGTCTACATGTCACAAAAGTTCAGAAATGAGTATGCTACTTTCTGGAAGGCGCTTATGACGTTTGACAACAAGACGATTTCGCGGGTGACTGATGCATGGGGCATCAAGGCGGCAGACCTCTTTGCGAGCGCGACATTGTTGCGGCCATACGAGGGCGGAGATGGCCGTACCCGTAATGGTATCATGAAAGGACTCGAAGGCAAGACACCGGCCGAACGCCATTACGCGATGCAGCAGCGGATGAAGCAAGGCATTCGAGAAATGCTGGCAGATGAAGAGAAGTGGCCGCAAGAGCTCATTTTCATTGGTCGAAACATGAGAATTGTGCAAGGTAACAACCAATACCTTGGTTCACCTGTCAACCGCGTCAAGATGATGGGCGAATGGGCAAGCCGCAGTCTTTTTGAAGATCCTCACTTGCCGCTGAGCCAGCGCCTGCAGAATCGCTGGCGACATATCATATTCAAGACGGTTATGACAGCATCCGACATAGCCTTCTATCTGTTTAAGTTGCGCCAATGGCTAGGCCTCGGCGGAGGAATGGAGGATGAGATGGAGAAGAGGATGAAGGATGTTGCATCGGACTTTGGCATTGAACTTCAGCACGATGTATTTGATGGCTGAGCTTTCTCGATGGGGGTTCGGTGATGAATCGCACTATCTCGTGTACACTATTGCGACAAAAGAAACTTCCCATGTAAGACTGTAATCTAGATAGATAGATGATGAGGTTCTAGTTTTGCGTTTGCCAACCACGGGCACCTAGAGGAACTAGATAAAATCTCTTTTTGGACCTACGGCTTGGAACATCTCTGCGGGGTGAAAAGGGATACATGGAGTTACATATTAGGGGTGAGAGTTTTCACATACACTTTTCAACGTTACCTCTTCATATTGTTTCACTTCATGTGTGTAGCTTCTGGCATTAAGTACTTTTCGTATAGCGCCGCGTCAAGTTGCAAGATATAGTACGGCTTTTACCCGTCTCCGTTACGACCTTGCAAGGAAGTTGCATGGAGCAATTTCCAATCCGTCCCGAACATTGCGTCCAACGGGTCTAATATTGATCATAGCGCAACAGGTGCCATTGTACTAATCACCCACTATTATCATACTTGAAGCTTTTGACATTCAACAAACCTCACCTAAATTGACCTTAGTCAAAACAGCAAAGGCGTAGCAAACTCTTTAACGTCACCCTCATAAGAATGTTCCTCTATATCACTCACCCGGCAATACTTATCTTCTGTACCGCTATATATTGCACGATGCACTTGGGGAATTTGTAGCGTTAAGGCAATCCGCAGACTGTGTCAAGGTTTCTGCAGTAAAACCACAACTTTGTACTATAGCCCATGCAGTTTGTGCAACACTGAGACTTATATGTTTGTAGTAGGCATCCTACGATCATGTGACTAAAATCAGCTTTGATCTAATATGGAGCTCGCTTGGTTGATATCTTAGTCCACATGTATCGGGAATCTACCTGAAAACAAGCTAGCGTCATTGGTATTGTGTTTCCTCGGCTATATGTATCAGGAGCCTGCAATCAAAAGGGTTGCGTCTTAATCCTTTACATACAACTTAGGAAGGCTCTTTGACTCCGCAATTGGGTATTATTGTTTGATACATGCGTTTGATTTTATTGTTTAACCCTGCAAGGTCCACGCAGGTTCGGCGAACATGAAAGTTGTTTCTCGGCTCAACTTTTCCTTTCAGAATTTGAGTTAGGAAATGAAGTAAGTGGAGCGACAGTTTTCCATACCTACGCAAGAGCACTGACAGCGTCATGTACCTGCATCAGTGGGTGGGTCGATTCGCTTGATGCAGCCCTGGAGGGCTACCTTAATAAGCTACCTACTAGGTATCTACCTAGGTACCAACGAAGAGATACATACCAGATGCTCGTCCCATAACTATAAAACAAATGAAGTTGAACAAAGGTCCGATAGCTTAGTATGAGAAGGGTCCTCCTATGTGACGCGGTGGAAGATGAGGTATGAATCCCTCAGTTTGTAAGTGGCAATTAATGCCTTGCTCATGCGGTTTAACGTACCCATTGGCCTCCGTCTATTTAAATATAAACTCAGGGACCTTTAATCGTGGAGCTGCTTGTGGCGGTTGGGTATCTGTACTAACACGGTTTTAACCATGACGGGCCATCTCCATTCCCCCCACTCGTTAAAGGCCCACAGTTGAATGAGGGAGTCTGCCTTTGCCCGTTACTCTATTAAGAGGGAAATAAAGTAAGAATTTATTGTTAAGCATGCGTTGGAATCTTGCATAGTAACTGACAGTAGATAGCAACCAGTTCACATTAGTGGTGCTATGAGATAGGTGCCTGCCTGCTAAGGTTAGTAGCTAGGTACGTTTCTGTAGAGGTGGGCTTTTCATCCATCATTCTCGCTTCCCACTCGCCCCTGATTCCCCTGACACCCCACCCACTCAGATTGTCTTGGACCCTGCCCGGACATTACCTTAGCGCTGCAGAAAAGAACCTAGCCTTAGCGCTAGCGAATCATTCTAATGGATCCGCATCTGGACGGAACTGTCTCAGGGAGAGTCAAAGTCTTAGGTCGTGCAAGGTCCAATCTCAAGGCCGTCGTTGTGATAAATGATCCGATGGAAATATTGACAAAAAGCAAATAAGATGCTGGCGGGTAAGCATATTGGTACCAGCTCTTATTCCCACAAGCTGATGAAACAAAAACAATCACATGTTTTGCGGTTTGATAAAATATGAACATGTTTCGCAGATATTACCTCCACTTGTATTTAGTATTGATCCTGAACTTGTTCGACCAGCCATAAGTGTCATATTCCAGAGTTACTGTACTCGTGCAGTAACTATTTGCTATAGCTACCTACCTAGGTACCTAGTAGACTAGGTAGGTACTTAGGTAGTTGTTGTCCTTTTTGGTACGTGCTCCGTTATTGTCTTGAGGTTGTACATAGTGGTTTGAGCTTATTCAATGCCTGTGAACCCTTGCTCTTAATAATTGCAACTCCCTCAGTACCGCCTTTGGCCTTTCACCACTTTACTCGCAACCAATCAACTACCCTTTCCCACTCGAAACGGCCTTAATTACCCTGCAAAGTGTCTCCCATTTCAGTCATCCACCTCAGACGCGCATCAATCCTGTTCCTTCGATCTCAAGCAAATAAAACAAAGCAAGGCTATACCAGGCAATCCAGGCACGACTCATTCCGCCTTTTGCAAATTAGATGAGAGCTACTGTCCTCTAGATGGGCCCTTCGACTCACGCCCTCTAACTTTCCGCTGATCTCAGACATCCACTACCGACACTGGCGGCTCTCCACAAGAGGTGTGTGCACGCGGCCACGCGCTTTGGGTATCAATTCATCCTCTTCTATCTGTCTGTACCCGTACTGTCCCTGTTTTTTTTAATCTATCTCTGGCTTACAAAGACTCACTCAGATGGGCAAGGTTTTGTTCCATTGTCACCAAATTACCTGTTTCCTCTTGACCAGCTGGCCATTCTGATTGCCCCAAAAAAAACCGCTTTAACAGTCGAACTGTCAAGCCAAACACTCGACTAACTATCGTACGCCCACCCTCCCATCGGCTCGATCGCTCCCGCTCATCCACCCCCAAGTTTCTTCCATTTGTTCTCGACTTCACTTGCAGTCGCCCATTTGGTTACTGCCCCATCCTTCCGTCTTAGTCCCTCGCCGCTTCCACGTGCTCCGCACCTCCTTTGCGCTGCCCGCGCATACTCTTCTGGGCGTCTCCTGATCGCGACTCTCTTCCTTTTTGTGACTTTCTTCCCAGAAGATGAACAACGAGGAACCTCGCCGTACCAGTTTCGGCATGTTACTTCGACGCAGCAAGAGTGGCGATTTGGGCAAAGCCGGTCGTAAGGCCCAGGCCCTCAAAGAGGCCGAGCTTGAACGCCAGCGCCATGCCTCTACTCGCATTGCTCCTAAATTGCCTGAGTTCGCCAATCATACCGAACAGCTTTCCAATTCTTTTGGCCCTGAACTGCGCCCCGAATCCCCAGCCAACGTCCCTCGATCAGCAGACTACTCTTCCATTCGACCATCAGGTGAATATTCGCGAGGTTATGGCAATGCTGTGCATGCCGCCCCTCCTGTCCCGCCTTTGCCTAATGGTGGGTTTGACCCATATGCCAGGACTGAGAGCATGACGAACCGTGGCCGTTACAGCTACGCCAGTAGCGCTATCAGTACGGTCAATAGCCCTCGTCGTGTTCGAAGAAGAAAGGACCCAACGCCTATGAAGTGAGTTTCTACGTATACCTAGGCAGCTCATAATACCTGATTCACTAACACATTAATTAGCATTCTCGTCATTGGTACTCGAAACTCGGGCAAAACCTCGTTCCTTGAATTCCTCAAGACAGCATTTGCGCTTCCGCCCAAGAAACGGGCTAAGAAGGGCGACGATGAAGTACCTCAGAATCATAGCATTCCTTCTGGAAGGTTTATTCCCCACTATCTCGAGACCGAGATTGACGGAGAGCGCATCGGCCTCACTATATGGGACTCGGAGGGCTTGGAGAATAATGTTGTCGACCTGCAGCTTAGGGAGATGTCAGCCTTTCTCGAGAGCAAGTTTGAGGAGACCTTTGCTGAGGAGATGAAGGTTGTCCGTTCACCTGGTGTACAAGATACACACATTCATGCAACTTTTCTTGTTCTTGACCCCTCTCGTCTGGATCGCAACATCGCATCAGCAAGGAATCCAGCCATCAACGGTCAACAGAACGGCCACCCCTTTTCTCGCGTATACGGCAGCCTGGACGAAAGTCTTGAATTAAATGCCTTGCGCACTCTACAGGGCAAGACAACGGTTATTCCTGTTATTGCTAAGGCAGATACAATCACCACCAAACACATGAATGTTCTCAAACGAAGTGTTTGGGACAGTATCAAGAAAGCTGGTCTGGATCCCTTGGAGGCGCTCGGTCTTGATGATGAGGATGGAAGTAGTTTTTCTTCCGAGAAGATCGTCGAGGAAGATGAGGAAGATGATCTTGAAAACAACCGGGATGGCGCACAAACACCAGAAAGTCCAGATTTCCCTCTGCAAGGTCAGCGGGAAAGCCCGACAGCTTCCCCAAGCTCTAAAAGACTATCCACCAGCTCTATGCGACGACACAAAGTACAGGAGGAGGCTAAAGAGAAGGAAGACGAGATTCCCTTCTTGCCGCTTTCTATCATCAGTCCTGATCTATATGAGCCTGGTGTCATTGGTCGACAGTTCCCTTGGGGCTTTGCTGATCCTTACAATGACGAACATTGCGATTTTCAACGACTCAAAGAGGCCGTTTTTAGTGAATGGCGTGCTGAGCTTCGCGAAGCCAGTCGGGAGCAGTGGTATGAGGGATGGAGAACAAATCGCCTCAAGCAGAAGGACGGTCCCCATCGTCACAGATAGATGCCAGCGAATAACAGCGTTGCTACCCACAGGACGACTCACGCCTTCTTTCTATGTCTCCTACAAGCCGGAGCTCTAGCCAAAACATGTCTTTGCTTGATGCATCATGTACACAACACTCGAACATCTTTCATTACTTTGGCATTACGCCTGTCATGCAAATTGCCGGAAACTTACAGCATCCCTTGATACCTTATATTCTTTTCTGAACTTGTGGGGAGCGGCATTGCCCTGTGTATAAGGCATGACGCTCACCATTCTTATGGCTGATACCCCTTTTTTTGGTGAGACTCAAACCTCTCAACTACATGGCTTTTGACTATTGGACCAGTGGACGAGCCAGCTCGAAAGTTCCATCAATTGCCTATGACGTTTTCCTTGTCCTTTTCCTTTTTCTTTTTTCTCTATGTTACGAAGGAGGAATTTTTAAGCGGTGGCATTTTCGTCAGCGATCTGAAACGAGGCCTTCTCTTTGAATCCTCATCCTGCGGCTACTCTGCTAAATCCCTTCTGCTCATTCTTAAACCTATGCCACAACTCAGAAAGTGCTCGTTGCTTTCACTCACACTCTGAGGAGGAAACCCAAGAGAGAACAGCTCTATTTGTTGTGGCCTGGAACATAAAGCTCTCTCAAAACGACAGAGTTTGGCAAGAATTGTGGGAATGTACAAAGAGTATATGTTTGCAGCGACTGTACAACGACGTTGTTTTTCTTTAGTCAATTTTCGCTAGAAATACACTGCAACATTTTGCCCTAATCATGGAAGTGCTACTGAAGTCGACCAGTACCTCGCTACGTTACGCTCGTTCACACTTTAAGTTGGAGCCAGATATATGCTCTCATTATGTGTTGATAAAGCTATACGTTCCATCGATATCGATACATAGAAAATTTGAAATTAACAATGAACCTACGTCATCATACCTGACTTCAGCCCAAGCCTCTCTTACACTCCAAAGAGATCAAAATAGCGTGGGTTCCAAAAGCTCAGTATTAATAGGGTTACCATTGGCTTCAACATCCTCCTCCCGACGATGAGGGTTCTTTCCAACTGCCTTTACCCTGGCAATCTCTTTGCTGCCCAGAGCGACTTCATTGAAGTTTGGAGGCAGAACCGCATCCGTGATAAGAAGCTCAGTTTTGAGATTACGTGCTCTGTCACGGTAAGCCTGTTGGTTTCGTGGATGCTCAAAATAATCATTACACTCTGATTCAATCATCGACCAGCGAGCACCATGTTCTTGGATCAAATCAAGCAGCAACTGAGTGTCATGATCGCTCCAAGGGACACGCTGTCTTGTCCCCTGTCGGCCGGGATCTGCTAAGCGCGCTTCTCTGTTTCTTTGAGATGCTGCCTTTTTGAGGGCATCGTAATTGACTACGGAGGAGGGTGGCAGCCGTGAAGCCGCTTGAGGAGTCAAACTCCGCGAGGATTCTTGTTCAAAGGCAGGAGGCACAGATCTTGCAGATGAAGGAACGGGGACACGTCTCGGGAGAGATATAGAGATCGTTTCTGGTCGGGATGGTGGGGGCATTTGTCGTTTTAACTCATCGCGTCTCGCTGGATTAATGTAACGGTCATCAGTTTCAAAAGGATCATCCTCATCATCGCCTTCGGCTGTGACCGATCGTGGTCGTTTGTAGCCTCGATGCTGGCCTTTATCACTGCCAGAAACGAGTCGAAAAGAACTTGCAGGAGGAAATGGGCTACGCAGGAGGTCGGCGTTCGCATGCTGATGATAGTCGCGAGGAACCTGTGATTTGGGACCGGTAGGTTGCTGATTTGAAGGCGGGAGGGTCTCGCCCCCTTGGGTGTCATACTCTAGAGCGAGAAGTGATCGTTTATTAACGAAGAGACTGGGCCTAGAGAACCGGTCAGTTGCTGGCTCTGTTTTGAGGGGATGGATACTTACTCTGCTTCTTGAGTTTCTGCGCGGACGATCGACTGAGAATCAGAGCCGAAAGGATCACCTTGACTCTCGAAGGCAGCCTGTTGATCAAGATATGGTGACTGAGTGCCAACCCTAACACTCTCTTCGTCAGTCAAGATATTGTACATGGCGTCGAAGCAGCTCCGGAGATTGTTGAGCAGCTCCTGAAGAGGGTACTTCTCCGATAGATGCGCGATTGTCTTGTGTTTTCCGCTTTGTTTAAAGACCTCGGCTATTTCCATTATGCGTTCTGAACAGAGCTCCTCAGTATCAACGTGACCACTGTCGCCAACTTCTCGAAAGTATTGTCCTGACAAAAGCGCCGGGTAGTCATACCATTCTTCAATGCTATCGAGATTCTCTAATTTGTGAGGGTCACAGAATACCTCAACGAGTAGTTTGTCAATATCGCCTTGACCATCGGTACGTGACAGAGTCTCGACGAGAAGCCAGGTCCGCATATCCAATATCACTTCAGGTTCTTGGAACATTCCAGGGTCCGGAATAAAGTAGTTAGGGAAGACCTCGTTGAAAGTTTTGAGAAACGTGAAGATTTCCGGCGCTTGGCCATCCTCAACATTGTGAATTCTGTCGTAGGCTATAACGGTATTGACTCGGGCAATCTGAACTAACAGAGATTTTTGCTGTTGCGTAGAGCCTAGTTCCAGGAAGCTCGCGAAATCAATGAAGTCGCCCTTGTAGGGTTGTCCAAGTTTTTTAAAGATGTTTTGCATGCTATCGAAAGCGTGTCTCTTCATGCGCAGACATCCTTGGAACACATCATTGTCCGATGGTTCTTGATTTGAGTACTTGTATAGACTATCGGCAGCTCTGGCTAGATCCGGTACCATGGTTTCGAGCATCTTGAGATTCTTCAATTTCTCAGAATCGAGCTCTGGGCTGGTCTTGGGGTAATCACTTGCAAGGCCTGCGCCACCAAGGCCAGCGTCGTTCGATTCAGGCTGAGGAACAGATGGTATGTAACTGTCCCCTTGGTTCGCCGAATCAGCACCGGGGTAGTCGGGTTCATATGGATTTTGTCCATAATTTGCATGGGTTTGTTCTACTGAGCTTCGTCCAGGTGTATACTGAGAAGTAGGAGAGTAGGGGTTCAGGCCAGAAGCAATCTCCCTCAGCTGGCTGCCAGGGTCGTCAGGTTGAGGGTACTCGTCATCATCCTCTATAAATTCAGTTTCGTCGTCAGGTCTTGCTGGATTGGTTGAGATACTGGACTCTCGTCCTTGAGCCCGAGGCGGAGCGTTGCGGCGAGCTGGCGGGTGTCTCTGTAATACTCTAACATGCTCGATTGACAGTACTGGCTTGTCCTGGGAAATATGCGTCTCTCTTGGTGGTGTTGCGGTTGTCGCTACGCGGCCTCGAGTGTTGCGCATAACTCTCTGAGGCTGAGATGCAGCCGTTGTGTCGCCAATATGAAGCGGCTTACGGGTGTTCAGGTGAAGGCGTGTGAGATACAGGAACAGAGTCTCAAAGCGCGCCGCGTTGGTTTTAATTTTGACGACTGACCAATAAGCGCTGACTCCACCCTTAACCCGAACGCTGACCTTAAGGGTGAACGACAGGCACTGATCATTGTATGGGTGTAACCCTAACCCTATGATAGAGAACCTTTAGGCTTGGTGTTTGCCCTTTGGTGCAGGGACCAGCAACCCGGTAGAATGGAAGCTACCCCAGATTCAGCTAATTGGAAGTCAGCCTGCAAGGCACCGTTTTCATTCAGTACCTACTAACGTACCTGTATTACCAATGTCACAAATTTTCTAGACATTCAATTTATAGGTACCTAGATTGGTAAGACGCTGGTACCTATACATACTATCCTAACACTAGGTACATGGTTTATGCGAGATTACCCACGGCTATTAAATAGCCTTTTTCAGAGCAAAAGGTTTGACGTGATCCTTGCCAAAGAGCCCAGTGAGGTAGGCCGTTCTCGTGAAGAAAAGAAACAACTAGAAGCATGTTAGCGCTGCCATGAGAAGGGTTTGCCATGTTTACAATAAACATCTCGGCCGTTGGCTTACCGTCATTGCGATGTTCCCCCAAGTCGTAGCGTTCCATTTCGTGGGACTCATTGACAGATTCCACCCTAAGCCATAAGAGCTGAAACCGACATGACCGATGTCTCCAAGCCACAGTGCAATAAGATATGCTCGGACGACACTGACCTCATTGGTCGTTGATAGGATTGCAATACCAAGAAATCCTAGCAATAAGTAAAGATTTCCCAACTGCCAGGTCACCATGATACCGTTTCCAGAAGGGCTGATCACATTGCTTTGAGGAACTTGTTCGTTCATGAACCAGGCTGGATCAATGACGGCACCAGCAAAGCCAGCGATTCTGTTCAAATGTGAGCAAACCGCATGTTGGCCAATACAAGGCCTCGAAGCCGTAAATCTTACAATGAAATGGGCTCGATGATTGTGAACACTATACGTGGGAAGGTCGGAAGAGAAGATGCCATGATTGGGTAGTAATTGGTATATTGACCAGTAACATCTGCACTAGATAGTCAAGCAAATGAAGTTGGAGAACGTGTGAGTACGGATCTGATAAGTGAAGTTCCCGCTTCCCCAGAAAGGACCGCCGGTAGTGTGCTACCAACCAATAGGAAGAGCCATGCGAAATGATTGAAATCCGGCATCGCTCGGGATGGACCGGAGCATAACCAGTATTGTTGTCCGGTCAAGGATGTCCGGCGAATAAAACCGGGCAATATTGGAGCTTTTTTCCGTTTCAACTGTGCTTCCGGGGCCTAAGCTAAAGCTGAGCTGTTAAAATCTAGCAGCCGAAGACGAGGAGATAGTGAATTGGTCTTCTCTCCGACTATTCAAATCTTTCTGCAATTGTGCGACATCTCCGGCATCCTGACACCGAAGAATCCTCCTACGACCTCTCCTAGTCGAATCAATACGACCCAATTGGCCGCCAACTGCCCATCATGCTTCGATCTGTCACGGGACGCGCTGCCGCCACGGGCCTTATGAAGTCAGCTCTGCCTCGGGTCTCCCAAGTAGCAGCGCCCACATGCTCTCTTGCCCCGCAGTTGCGACTCCAAAGCAAGTCCTCTGTTACTGGTCTTCGACTCTCCAGAGCTATTCACAGCACCTCAGTCAGAATGTCCCAGACACGAACAGAAAGCGATGCCTTTGGCGAGATCCAGGTCCTCGCCGACCGATACTGGGGAGCTCAGACGGAGCGATCTCTTGAGAACTTCCGTATCAACCAGCCCCAGGACCGCATGCCCCCGCCTATCGTCAAGGCGTTCGGTATCCTGAAGGGTGCTGCTGCCACTGTTAATATGAAATATGGTCTTGGTGAGTTGCAATACGAGTCAATTATCGCTTGTCTGGGAGGAGGTCAGAACTGGCTGTACAGGTGCAACTCGAGCTATATCCCCGTGGTTAAGGCGTGACTGCAGCATCCTCCGCGTAGATAGGTTTTTGTCTTAAATTGACATCTCACTAACAATTACTTTTCGTAGACCCCAAGATCGGCGCTGCTATCCAACAGGCTGCCAAGGAGGTCGCCGATGGCAAGCTCCTCGACCACTTCCCTCTCGTCGTCTGGCAGACTGGCTCCGGTACTCAGTCAAACATGAACGCCAACGAGGTCATCTCCAACCGTGCCATTGAGATTCTTGGTGGTACCATGGGCAGCAAGAAACCTGTCCACCCCAATGACCACGTAAACCGCAGCGCTTCCTCCAACGACACTTTCCCTACCGTCATGCATATCGCCGCTGTCCTCGACATCGAGAACGAGCTCCTGCCTGCTCTCCGCAGCCTGCGCGATGCTATCCAGAAGAAGGTTGACGAGTTCGAGGCCAAGAAGATCATCAAGATTGGCCGCACTCACCTTCAGGACGCCACTCCTCTTACTCTCGCTCAGGAGTTCTCCGGCTACGTTGCCCAGCTCGACTTTGGCATCAAGCGTGTTGAGAGCTCTCTGCCCGACCTGCGACTCCTCGCTCAGGGTGGTACCGCTGTCGGTACTGGCATCAACACTTTCCAAGGCTTCGCTGAGGCCATCGCCGAGGAGGTTACAAAGATGACCGGCACTGAGTTCAAGACTGCCCCTAACAAGTTCGAGGCCCTCGCCGCCCACGACGCTATTGTCCAGGCTCACGGCTCACTCAACACCCTGGCTGCTTCTCTTACCAAGATCGCACAAGACATTCGATACCTTGGTAGCGGCCCCCGTTGCGGTCTTGGTGAGCTGAGCCTACCCGAGAACGAGCCTGGTAGCAGTATCATGCCCGGCAAGGTTAACCCCACTCAGTGTGAGGCCTTGACCATGGTTTGCGCCCAGGTTATGGGTAACCATGTTGCCACCACTATCGGAGGCATGAACGGCCAGTTTGAGCTCAACGTTTACAAGCCTCTAGTCATTCGCAACCTACTCCACAGCTCCCGTCTTCTAACTGACGGCATGCGCTCTTTCGAGAAGAACCTGGTTGCCGGCCTCAATGCTAACGAGGAGAAGATTGCCAGCATCATGAAGGAGTCGTAAGTTTTCCGTTTGCTCGACAACAAAGTACATACTGATCAATTTTGTAGACTCATGCTTGTCACCTGCTTGAACCCCAAGATCGGATATGACATGGCCAGCAAGGTTGCCAAGAACGCTCACAAGAAGGGCCTTACCCTCAAGGAGAGTGCCCTCGAGCTAAACGCGCTAACTGAGGAGGAATTCGATACTCTTGTTAAGCCTGAGCTGATGGTCGGTCCCAGCCCCTACAAGGGTTAGATACTCGCCTGACCTTATGTATGATCGTGGCCCATGTATTAAAAAGAAACAAAAGCGCTGCTAGTTCCCATTGTACCTATGAAACGATGTTGATACTGGTGTTCGAAAATCCAAGGGGCACTATTTAAACGATACAGATAAAAATAAAAACATCATAATTCACGCGTGATGACGACAGGCATTGATTTGGAAATGGTGTATCATGTGTTGAGCGACGATTTATTTTAGCATGTGAAAGAAACCAATATTTATTACCGCTTATTTTTTTGTTGAAGACCGGATAAACGCCCGGTAATCACCGGCAAGGCCCCGGACTGGTAGGTTAGTACCTGTTTACCTTTACCTACTAACCTGTAACATGGAAGCTTCAGTATGTGGCAATTTCACGTGTTATTGCAACTGCAACTGGAACCGCAACAGAAAGACAAACAGCCCAAGTGAGACCACACCAAGGCGTTTGCGACCCCGACTCTCGTGAAGCAGTGACCATTCACAGGCACCGAATCAATATGACGCTTTAAGCTGTTATCTCTTGTCGACATCAATTCAAACCCCTCTCTTTCATCCTTCGCTCTCCTCGCCTCCCCGCCATCGCATCCCAACGTGCGTTCTCCACTGGCGTCGACGTATTTATATTCAATGCGCCAACCGATCTCTGGGAGCCCACGATGGCCACAATCGAGCCGCGCTTGATACATCTGCTCAACGAGCCGACAAAATCGCAAATCAACCACACCGATCTTCCTCCGCTTCATTCTCTTTCCTTCACTACAACAACAGATCGATCTTTACCCCCACTCGAGCCGCTTGATACAAATCATCGCGGTGATAGACCAGGGCCCGACACACAATCTGTTGCTAGCGCCGGTGGCTCAATACAAATATCCACTGATGATGGTGCTTTTGATTATCGCAAAGAGGGACCTGGCCAAGATGGAAGACTCGCGACAGCTTCTGGGGCATTTCCGTTCCGTACAATCACAGGCGATTCGGAAGTTGCAGAATTTACCAATTCAATAAGTCGGATCCTAGATGACGACCCTGAGGTGATAGATGATGCTTCAAACAAGAAACGACATCGCAGTATCCATGTCAAGGATGATTTTGTACAGCTTCCGCAACCTCTCAAAAAACAGAAAGCTACGCAACAAGCACCAGTCATGCCGCCGATCATCAACGGACTTCATGAGCCTCCGCCACATGCTGCTTTGTTCCCACCCATTTCATCCGAGTCATTTAACACTAGTGACGGTTCTCAGATGAAGGTATTGCCAGAGATACTGTCGGAGTTTACGCAACCGTCCCAGGAAATCGACACAGACTTCACCATCAATAAAGCACGAAAGCGAAATGCTAAGCCAAGAAGGAAATGGTCTGAGGAAGAAACAAGCCATCTCTTGTTGGGTGTCAACCGGCACGGAGTAGGGAAATGGACAAGTATCCTCGAGGACACCGATTTCACGTTTAATGGCCGGACGGCCGGAGACCTGAAGGATAGGTTTAGGACTTGTTGCCCTGACGAGCTTCGTAAATCCAACAGATCGATCGAAACTGAATTGCCACCATGGCCTGGTCGAGACATGCCGCCCAAGGGTAAAACGGACGTTCACTTGGAAAAGATATTGATAGACGGGGATGCTGCATTCGTAAAAGACGCCACTTTGACTCCACAGCAGGACATCGACAAATCGCCCAACAAGAAGAAGAAGAGTCGTGCGCATCGCAAGAAGATGGAGGATCTTGTAGAGCTTGGTATCCACGAGCCCTTCAAGAAATCCCGCCGCCGCGAAAGACGACCCTTTACTGAGCAAGACGACACGGAAATCCTCGAGGGTTTGGACATTCATGGTCCTGCCTGGACCAAGATCCAACGGGACCCACGGTTCCATCTCTCAAGTCGACAACCAACAGATTTAAGAGATCGAGTGCGTAACAAATATGCAGATGTTTATCAGCGCATAGAGAAAGGCACTTTCCAGACCAAAGAAACGGGCAGAGGGAATGTCCCTATGGAGCCTTCGGTGAGCATGTCCATCAAGAGCTCTTTTAAGGTAGCCAAGGGTACAACACTGGAGCCACAAACAAACTCATCGGCGTCACGCGAGGATCTTCCCAGATGGCCGGTTCACCAAAGGTCTGATGTAAATGAAATCATAGGGGCCGCGCAGGTATTTGAGTTTTCCGAGGCTGCAGTGCCTTTCATGGGCGGTGAAATGGACATCTCGCGTCTGCTACTTGACGATGCGAAGCTCTTGCCAGCAACTTCACGCTTTGGGATCGACGGCGTCCCTGGTTCTTCCCCACACATCAATGCTCCACAGAAAAGGCACGTCAAGGAGGAGACGCAACAGTCAAGAAAATAGCGTCAAGTCTTGTTTTGGGCTGAGAAAGTACAGGTTCTACACAACGAACGATGCTTCGTTGTGTTTAATGGCTATGGGTGTCCAAATAGGATGGGAGTTGGAAAATTTGTTTTGTAATGACATGATTGGGCGTATATAGATTGGGAGACATGACTCTGGACGAGAACAACAAGCACGCGCTACATCGTTCACTTATATGAGCTTGAGGATGACAAGGCGCTTGAAGGAATGGGCATCCAGGTTACATAACTGGCAAAGAATGATATGAAGAAAAGAAAATTGTATGGCAAGAATTTTTTACAATGTCAAACTAATATGACGAAACCTACCTAATTAAAGACCGTATTTCTTGAAGATCTCTGTGTTAAGAGCAACTCGAAGAAGTAACAAGGGCCAAATGCTTTTTGGAAGTCCTGATTCTGATTGGAGAGCAATTACTCCATCACCGGTTTCTCACAATTCAAATCACGTGAGATGCAAAATCTCCACTTTTAAAAATCTAGGGCATCGAAACCCCTAGCGAAAATTATGTGTGGTTTCCTATCCTCCAAATTTGTTCCTTGTGAAGTAGGTCCCTCGTCCATCCTCCTCATCACCGCCGACAAACCAGCCAACCGACACAATGGCCCGCGGAATGTGAGTAGAAAATATAGGAAGAACGGTCATTGCAGCGATTGCAAAATCGAAAAATGATTTGGGCTTCTCTCCTGCCGTCCCGCTGTTGGAAACCCGGCATCTGACAATATCGATAGCAAGAAGCACCAGAAGCGCCTCAGCGCCCCCTCGCACTGGCTGCTTGACAAGCTGTCCGGCACCTACGCTCCTAAGCCTTCTGCCGGTCCTCACAAGCTCCGCGACTGCATGCCCCTGATCGTGTTCATCCGTAACCGACTCAAGTATGCTCTCAACTACCGTGAGACCAAGGCCATCCTGATGCAGCGACTGGTCAAGGTCGACGGCAAGGTCCGCACCGATTCCACCTACCCCTCCGGCTTCATGGACGTCATCACCATCGAGAAGACTGGCGAGAACTTCCGTCTTGTCTACGACACCAAGGGTCGATTCACCGTCCACCGAATCCAGAACGAGGAGGCCGAGTACAAGCTGGGCAAGGTCAAGCGTGTCCAGCTTGGTCGCGGTGGAATCCCATTCTTGGTCACGCACGATGCACGAACGTGAGTTCTGTCAGACATCATTCAGCCGTTGGATCAAGCTTTGGTCGATTCAAGTCACCCGACAAGACAGGAGCTTTATTTAACGGTTGTATGTACCCTCCCCAAACCCCGTTGCTAACGAAGAATCTTTAGCATCCGATACCCCGACCCTCTGATCAAGGTCAACGACACTGTCAAGATTGACCTTGCCACTGGCAAGATCACCGACTTCATCAAGTTCGACACCGGCGCCGTTGTCATGGTCACTGGTGGTCGTAACATGGGTCGTGTTGGTGTCATCACCCACCGTGAGCGTCACGATGGTGGTTTCAACATCGTCCACGTCAAGGATGCCATTGACAACAGCTTCGCCACCCGTGAGAGCAACGTTTTCGTCATTGGCCAGGACAAGCCCTGGATCTCTCTGCCCAAGGGCAAGGGTGTCAAGCTCACCATCGCCGAGGAGCGTGACCGCCGACGCGCTTACGCCATCTCTCACTAAATTGTGAATTTGCGATAGGAATGATAAAAAATGGCATGTGGTCTGGAGTCTCGGATTTGACGTTTGCTTTGCGGCTTTAACTACCCTGGAGATAGCCAGCCCCAATGAGGCTATGATAAAAGATAAATTTAAGCCCAACACGAAGTGTCGATTCCGTATAGATGCCGCTCTTGTTCTGTGACGAACGTGAATGTCGATGCGTCCATTATTTTTGGGGTCTTGTGGTTCAACCTTGTAATCAGCTGTAGAAATTCCTTCTCTATTCTTGGTACAGGGTAGTTGTCGGCTGAGAGTGGCCTGGCACAATGCTATCGTCAATTCATTAAAGGAGTTCAAACCGAACAAAGATATCACTTTGGCCGAGTACTGCCAACTATTGCATACAGTTCAACCCGAGACGACAGAGACGGTGTAGTACTTACCATAGGTAGCTATGCAGGGGTGGTCAGTTGACCTTATGATGTGCAAGGTCGAACACACGTAGCTGGCCGAGGTGTAGTCTTGTAAAAAAAAAAAAAAAAAAAAAAAAGGGCGTAGGCGAATTCCTATTTATTTCTTTTTCTTACTCCATGTCTAGTAGGAAGCTGGGTGATTATTACACTGAGAAATGAAAGAACCACCCATGAACGTTCATTCATCTTGAAAAGCAGTGATTCCCCAATTGATCCATTGACTCTGAACTCCCAATGCATAAATGATCAAGTGGACTCCTGTTCTTCTCCCTTCTGTGTTTCTCTCCACACCCTCCCACTCTGAGTAGAGAGAATCCTAGTCCGGCCAGCAAGCCGAGTATTCTGGAGAGCGGGGGAATGCCATGTTGTCCAGCACCGAGTCGGAATTATGTACGGGGTTGGAAATGCATGACTAATGAGAACTACACCCGCCACAACGCCTGTCAGATCCTCATCGGCTATGCCATGCTGATGGCCGCGTCTCTGGGAGCTACGATTCGACAATGCAAGTCTCATGCGCGCTATTCCTGTGATGTGCACCTGAGCATAGTCTAATGCGTGGGGAGTACTGCATAGTATATGCCAACCAAGCTATCGAATGAGGCTCAGTGATCCAATGTTCTTGGAGTACGACGACAAGACCACACGCACACAACATTCACGAACAATGATCAATCGTGTGCACAGTCGCCTTTTGTAGCACTTGACCCGCTGCCTGACCAAACTAGCCAGGTTCATCAGCTATGGAGAGTCATCTCTTTGCTTCGCTGGTACAGCATCGCGGCCATCGGGATTGCATCAGCGAAGCTAACGATTACCACGTAGCAGAAGAGGACCCTTTGAGCTAACGTTCACTTACCCGTTGCCCCACGATGTTGACTGAGACTGGCTCGGGAGCTTATAAATGGAAGGCGGACCCATCGAGGTCTTCTCCGGTTCCGGATTTCTTTTAGAGTGGCTTTCTTCCATCTCGTTGTTTTGGACGAAAGATTCTGGTCATTCTTTTTTCGATCCATCTCACGTTTCCCCTCTCCCTTTCGGCATTTCGGTTCAGATCCGCTTAGATACGGCAGATATTACTCTCATGCCAAAGACTGCTCGCAAGAGTCGATGGTACATACATAAACTAGAGCTCATTGAGACAAAAGCGTAGGGTTGGGTACTGGATCAATACTGGTTCCACATAACTACCTACCTTCAATTGCGGGCCTGGACCGTTTACAACACACGAGACTATCTGCTATTTGATCATTGTTCAATGTTCGTCAGCAGAACTACTACTAGAGCTCTTTTGAGCCGTCGAACTCAGAGATTAGATGTGCGACGAGGTTTCAGAGTCTCTTCTCATGTTCATGCCCCGGAGATAAATAAGGTTGCTCAGAGTGGATACAGTAAAGAGTCGGGATGGTCCCAACCAAAGGTCATTGCAGTTGCACTTGGAGCAGGAGCTCTTGGATGGGGGCTTGCCAACTTGAACAGCGATGGTGACTCTATCTGGAACCGGTCATCTGCAACCCATTACGCCAGCGTATCTGAGATGGAGAAGGTAAATTGCCCTTAGAAACATCATTATGGCCACTGACTGACTATGAGAGCAGGCTATTCGACGAATCGAGGAAGAAATCGGAGTAGAAGGACTTATCTCGACAGACCCAGAGGATTTGCATGCTCATGGATACTCTGAGTGGTCTACAGTCAACCCTGACACCTTGCCTGTAGCTGTGGCATACCCTAGGACAACGGAACAAGTGTCTGTAATAGCCCGGATTTGCCACGAACATCGCGTTCCCATTATTCCTTACTCTGGAGGCTCAAGCTTGGAAGGAAACTTCTCTGCGCCCTATGGAGGAGTCAGCGTGGATTTTGCATACATGGATAAGATCATCCAGTTCAACAAGGATGACATGGATGTTGTCGTGCAGCCCAGTATTGGCTGGCAGGACCTTAATGCCAAACTCTTGCAGATGGATAGTGGTCTATTCTTTCCAGTGGACCCTGGTATGTTGCTAGTTTTTCGAAATCTCAGAGTATTTGATAACTGACAAAGGAGCCAAGGTCCGTCGGCGAGGATAGGAGGCATGATCGGAACGAACTGCTCTGGCACCAACGCTGTTAGATATGGCACGATGAAGGATTGGGTCATTAACTTGACCGTTGTCCTCTCCGATGGGCGTATTATCAAGACAAGGAGAAGACCTCGCAAGTCGTCTGCTGGCTACAACCTGAATGGTCTATTTGTTGGCTCCGAAGGCACCCTCGGAATCGTTACAGAAGGTATGATCCAAAAAAAAAAAAAAAAAAAAAAAAAAAAAAAAAAAAAAAACTCACACATAAGAACGAAGTTTGGACATAACTAACAATCATAGCCACGCTGAAGCTAGCAGCCATCCCGGAGCAGTATTCGGTTGCTGTTGTCACATTTCCGACCATTAGGGATGCTGCTAGTGCTGCAGCCGGTGTTATGCAGGCCTCAGTTCCTGTAGCAGCCATGGAAATCATGGACGAAGTTCAGATGAAAGTCATTAACCTTGGTGGTGCTACCAAGCCCCGAGTGTGGAAAGAATCGCCTACCCTTTTCTTCAAATTCTCTGGAACCAAAGAGGGAGTGGAAGATAACATTAGCCGAGTAAAGAAGATTGCTGCGGCTAACAAGGGCGGCAATTTCGAGTTTGCTCGGGACACTGCTGAGCAACAGCTGCTCTGGTCTGCCAGAAAAGAATCACTCTGGTCTATGCTTTCTCTACGCAAAGATGGTGACGATGTTTGTGAGTTTGTTGTTATCGCGTGCCAGCAAAGACTGGCCATTTCGTGATCACCGCTAATCAACGAATGTTTTAGGGAGTACCGATGTAGCTGTCCCATTTAGCCGACTGGCTGATATTATAGAGGTCAGCAAGAAAGAGATGGACGAGCTTGGCCTCTTCGCTAGCATTCTCGGTCACGTTGGCGATGGGAACTTTCATGAGAGCATCATGTACAACAAGAACGTACCTGGCGAGCGCCAAAAGGTTGAGGCCTGTGTCAAAAACATGGTGAAGCGCGCGCTCGATATGGATGGCACCTGCACTGGAGAGCATGCCATCGGATGGGGTAAAAAGGAGAGTCTGCTTTGGGAGGTTGGACCAGAGACCCTGGCTGTCATGTCATCGGTGAAGAAAGCATTCGATCCCAAGTGGATTTTGAACCCCGGGAAAATCGTCGATGTGCCTTGGGAGAACAATGTTTATCCTGGGGCAAACACGGCCGTGACACCAAACCGTGTCGTGAAAGATTTGTTGTAGGGAATCTGCTCCAACCAGCTTTCTTAGTGGAGACTTTGCTGATGTTGATATTTTTGGTTGAACGTAACGCAGCAAAATAGCACACACAGCTATCTCGGTGGCATTTGAAAGTCTGGGCTACTAGATACGTTTTGCGATATTTCAAACTAGCAACTACTCGATCACATGCTTCCCCACGTACAAGTTGTTTTTCGTCAAAACTTTGTGATTGTTGCGCATGCACTCTTAGGTAACTACTCTAGTCAAACAACAAACATGGTCGGGAAGCTGCAGCCGGTGGTTGTTTGCTCTTCTATCACCCTGTCCAGATGGTATTACATATCAGTCCAGACGTAAATATGTACCTCCAGGTTGTCAGGCAAAGTACGAGACCAGAGCTCAAGACACAAAAAGCAAACAGCTCAAGAGCAGGATCAATATGGCATGAAGTGACCAACATGTTTATCTCTTGAGGCATGTACGGATACCTACCTCTACCTACCGTAGGTCGCTAGGTAGGTACCTCCTAGGCAAGCAGCCGAAGAGCAGTGCGCTGCCACTTGCTGTATATCCTGCACAAGTCCAGCACCCGCCCTTTCGTGAATCACTGCCACTGTAGATTAAATACTTTTCACCTACTCAACCTCAACCTTTCACCTCCATCACTCTTAACCTTTTATTCATCTTCTGAATGCACACACTCATCGAAGCTGGAAATGAATACGAAGCACCCCCCATCCGAGTCCCCAAAAGGGTCTCGAGGTAATCCGAAACGAAAGACCGACCTGACGAATGGAAATCAAGAGAACCCGAAAAACAACACAAGCATTGCAATTTCCAATAAGTCAAATGAGATAGCTTCTCAGCTTCGTCCTTCCTGGCTTTCATGGCCTGAACTGACCGTTTATCTTGAGAGATTACCCTCATCAACTACGACCTCAAATCTCTGGGATTGGTTTAATGGTCAAGGGGAAATCGTATACATGGATATCAACGACCCGCCAAAGAACTCTGATCACACAAGCGGCAGAATCAGGTTCGCGCCACCTCCAAACAAAGGCTTCTGGGAAGCTGCTGTTTATCTCGTACCCCACTCCGACCCGAGACGAAAGTCGGAGCTTGTCGAGATTTCTGTTCGCCTAGACAAACGTGCGCCAGAAGGCTTCACCAGGAGCCCGGTATGTAAAGATCGCCGCCATCCCACTGTGACAACGTTGTATCCAATGGCCCTTGAGTTTGGGACCATGTTGGAAGAAAACTCGATGAAGATCTTGAAATCGATGAGCGGTCCAGTCGGCGAAGGAAAATTAAAGCTCACGATCAATTTAAACCGCCGCGAAATGACGGTGTTCTTTCCCATGGAGATCATGACCCGGGGCGGACGAGTTGTTAGGCAACACAAAGTTGTCATTGACTTTTCTGCCATGAAGAATATCTACCAAGCGACAACCGAAGGTGAAAACTGTGCCATCGTACTTCCCCTGGAGATGCCTCCTCGATACTATTGGAGGACACCCAACATACGCTCTCTTTTGTCCGACGAGGTCAAGACTTGGTACGCTGGGGACAGCTGGAATCGAGCCACAGACGTCGTTGAATGGACTAGCCTACCTATGCGATACCCTATCGCTTTGAATAACGACTTCGATGGTTCTGATTTTATCGACATTGGTCGCTGGACCACTCTTAGACTTGTACTTGATGGAAAAACCGAAGAGGCCAATAACCTCAATCGCCAACTTGTCAACGCGTTACACGATTTCAACATTACCACAATAGTTCGGAACGACTTTCAAGCCACTCATGGAACAAATGCAGAAATATGGAAGTACTTGGATCATGATGCATCTGTCAAGGACCATAACGCGAGTCGCGCGCTGAGCCTGTTTTACGAGGATTCATTTGTCTACCTCCCTTTCGAAGTCCGGTATCAACTTGAAGTTTGCATCTCTCAGAGACAGCTTAATGAACACAAGATTACAAAGGAGTTTCTCGACAAGCTGGCTAGTATGCCATCGCATATAGCCAAAGAGTACCTCGAGTTTGCAGCCGCGCGAGTACTGAAGGACGGCCACCCAATGACGACGGACCCTATGTCTATCTTTGATTCCCAGCGCGACAGCGGAGATAACTACAAATCAATTTCGCGAATTCCTCAGTACTGTGGTCTTGTCCGGAGGGCTATCATCACCCCAACTACGGTCCGGTACTCTACTCCCAATGTTGAGGTGTCGAACCGAGTTATGCGTCGATACAGAAACATCCAGGATCGTTTTCTCAGGATACAGTTCACCGAAGAGATGGAGAAGAAGGGGATCGCAGTGAACAAGGATCAAAACGACGAGATTTACAAGAAGGCTCTACGTACAATGTATAAGGGCATTCGTATCGGCGACCGCTTGTATGAATTCCTTGCATTCGGTAATTCACAGCTCAGAGCGAACGGTGCATACTTCTTCTGCCGTACAGAATACGTATCCTGTGACGATATACGCCAGTGGATGGGCCAGTTCAGTCACATAAAGGTCGTGGCAAAATATGCTGCCCGACTTGGACAGTGTTTTTCCACTACTCGCGATGTTCGTGGCATTTCCTCTCCAAATACTCTTCAGATACCCGACATCGACAAAAATGGCTACTGCTTCACTGATGGTGTTGGTAAGATATCCATGTTTCTTGCCAAACTGGTGGGCGAGGATATGGCTTTAGATGTTTGTGCCGACCCTTCCGCCTTTCAATTTCGCATGGGCGGTTGCAAGGGCGTACTTGCTATTTGGCCCGAAGACGCCAAAGGCACGGAGGTACATATCCGTGAGTCACAGAAGAAGTTTGAGTCCAACTCTAAGGGTCTCGAGATTATCCGCTGGGCTAGGTATTCGACAGCGACATTGAATCAACAAACTATCCCGATTCTGGAATGCCTTGGCGTGCCTATTGAGTCATTTACAACTTTGCTTGATCAGCAGCTAAGACAGTATGAATTGGCCATGAAGGATAATGATGTCGCAATTGAGATGTTGGAGAGATTTCGTGATGATCAGCAGAGTCACTCCTGCCTTGCCGACCTTCTTAGGGCGGACTTCAAGACTGAAACCCTCCAAGAGCCATTTGTCGTCAATGTCGTCAACCTTTGGCGGTCATGGTCCATCAAGGCCTTGAAAGATAAAGCCCGCATCCATATGCAGAACAGCGCCTTTGTACTCGGCTGCGTTGATGAGACAGGCACCCTTCGAGGACATTCTCTTGATACAGAGGGATCCAAAGAAAAAGACGTCGGTCGGCTACCGCAAATCTTCCTCCAGATCAGCGACCCAAAGAAATACAACACAACTTACATCATTCAAGGAGTATGTATCGTGGGACGCAATCCATCACTCCATCCGGGAGACATTCGCGTTGTCGAAGCAGTAGATTGCAAGGCACTACATCACCTCAAGGATGTCGTTGTGTTCCCGTCGACCGGGGATCGACCTGTGCCGAACATGCTGTCTGGTGGTGATCTTGATGGAGACGACTTTTTTGTTATATGGGAGAAAAGCTTGATACCCCGTGAGTGGAATTACCCACCGATGAACTACTCTTCCCCCAAACCCACGGAGCTAGAACGTGATGTCAATGTCGACGATCTCAGAAACTTCTTTGTCAAATACCTAAAGAACGACAAACTCCCACTCATTGCAATATCCCATCGAGCATTTGCAGATAAACTAGGCCCAAAATCACCAGAGTGTAAGTCATTTCAGAGACCTGCCAGAGTGTTCCGCTAACATCGCAAACAGGTCTCGAGCTTGCGGAGTTGCACTCCAAGGCAGTGGACTACCCTAAAACTGGCGAGCCGGCGACTTTACGACGCGATCAAGATCCTCGCACATGGCCTCATTTTATGGGGAAGAATAGTTCATATCGCTCCAGGAAAGCCCTCGGGGTTATTTACGACAAGGTTGTTCACAAGACAGTCGATTTCAACCCTGTTTGGGACAGCCCGTTCGACAAGCGAATCACCAAAAGGTTTGAACTTGACAACGAGACTCTCAAAGCAGCAAGGAAGATCAAGACCGAGTACGATGTAGCTGTGCGCCGGATTTTAAGCCAGAATGCTCTAAAGACCGAGTTCGAGCTCTTTACTAGCTTTCCCTTGACCAAGCCTCCGGTTGGTTCGGACTTCAAGTTTGCAGAGGATCTCAGCTGCGAGTTTCGCAGCCTTAGAGAACATTACCAAGACATGTGTGTTGAGGCCGCGGGTGGAAAAGATACCGAGAATCTTGAGCCATTTGTCGCAGCCATGTACACCATCACTGAGGAGCAAATCAAAACTGCACTATTTGAACATGACCGAGGACCAATCAACGATGCAGGAACCATTATGCAGCCTCGGAAGCTCGAGCCAAAGTCCATGCCGCTTATTAGCTTTCCCTGGATTTTCCATGGGGTGATGTGTCGCATTGCAACTGATGGCGTTGTCGATCCCAGGACCAACTTAGGCACACACAAAGCGACTCAACAGTCCTTCACTCGCGATAACATGGTACCTGGGAACATCAGCCCGGCGGCGGGTAAGGCCCAATCAATTGATGTCGGATCGGTCTCAGAGGAGGTCGCTCCCGCGAAAGGGGGGAAGGACACAACTGATGGAGAAAAAGAACCGTCGGGAAGTGACCGCGTTCTTGAGGAGGACGTGAGTGACGGAGCCTCAGATTCGATCGACTCGCAGCAGGATGAGGAATTGGAAGAAGACGATGCCATCGATCGCTTGAACGACTTGATTGATGGGTAGGCTAATTGGGATGAAACTGGAGGCATCTTGATGAGATACCTAGTCAGGGTGTAGATTAGAGAGCCAAAAAGGTTTCCGAGGTCGCAAAGTCCAGCAATTACATTCATCGCTTTATACAAAGATCAGTCCTGATGACCCATTTCTCGCCTGCAGTGACTTCTCGCCCTTCATGCTAAATGAGAATGTGATGGTTAGCTGATGATCAAAGTTTTGAGAGCCGTGTCCTGTGTGGGGGAGAGAAAGCGGCAGGAGAGATATTACAAGAAGACAGTCATCGCCATGCTTATGTAGAAGGAGCATGCCGGTGTCAAGAGGGACTGCGATCTCTTCTCGTTGCGACCTGCGATCCCTTGGGTAGAACACTGTCTCACCCCCAATACACCCCTCGGCAGTAGATGTAAGGTAGAGTAGAAGGGTCCATGTGGTTTTCACTGGCATTGGGGGATCTAGTGGCAGAGTAAGATTATTGGAGTCGTCATCTGGCAAAATCAGTTGTTAACTACCATGATCGTTATATAAGTCAATGGATCAATGTGTTTTTTTAGTACGAACGGGGGGAGGTTCAAAGGTCTACTGGGCAATCGGAGATCTTGAGAGATTATGAACATACAATGACAGTCAAAGAATTGCCCTTTGGAATAGCGATATATACGAATATTAGGGGATAACCCGACTGGCTCACCACCCCTACGAAAAGTCATTAATATGAAGTTACTTGGTAAGTCGTAGCCCAAACAGATCAGAAGGTCAATCTATTGGAATGAAAACGTACCACTTTTCTTCGACATCTCCCTGTAACAAGGCCTCTTTCAGTCCAGTTTGCTCCCATAATCGGGTAGCAAAGTCTTGACTATCAACCTGGAAACGATCGTTAACCCTTACTGCCTCGCCCCGCTTGGGCCGGCCAGGTGTTGTTTGAAGAGGCAGGGTCTTGAGGAAAGCAACGTAGTCGCGACAAAGAGATCGTGGGAAGAAAGAGGGTATAAGAACCACCTTTGATGTCAAAGGATGGGGCTCAGGTGCAAGGTCGATTACAGGCAGAGGAGGCTTGAAAGCTGGCCATGATGGAGGAGCCTGTGGTGGCGATGCTGAGGCTTCCACTTTGCCAGGCTTGGAAGCCTTATTCTTTGGCTTTGGCATGATGATATGAGAGTTGGATACCGTTTGTGAATATTTGTCCAATAATTAGAAGCAATTTTGTTCTTCAAGCTGGGTAATCTGATGTACCAAGTAGAACAAGCATAAAGCAGTGGACAGTGTGATGTGAGATGGTATGCGTTTATGAAAATACTATGCATTGAGCGGGGTCTGATTTGCAGAAACTACTAACCTAGGTAAGCAGATATTGTCCTCACTACTCCTACCCTACTCAGTATTGAAAACTGAGATCACCACTACACACAACCGGCCATCTTGATTGCTGAAGCCAAGATAATAATAATACGGAAATAATCACAACAGAAATGCCTATCCTCGCTTCATTAGTGAGCTCATGGCTTGGCGTACCGGTGGCTTCTGATAACAAAACCACGCCTCAGCAGACCCAAGAAGCAACAACACTATCTCGCCAGACCTCACCAAAAACTGGCTCTATCATCCCTGAAACACCAACTCCACAGACAGCAAGAGCACCGCCATCATCGACAATATCCGCACACCCGCAGTCAACATGGGAGCGCTCATTTAGACAAATGGGCTTATTACTGACTGGAGCAGGGTTTCTTGCTGCATCCGTAGCCGTATCACGACGCTCAGTGTTACGGATGCGTAAGGACTCATTCCCCAAATTCTACTATTCCAACCGGAATCCCGTCACGGTCGACATGGGGGAGCGATCTTTTCTAGCCGCCCAGGCTCTTGGACTTGCCACGCTAAATGTCATGAGCTTTGGTGTCATGCTGGTCGGAGGAATTTCCTGGTCTTTTGATCTCGCGTCTGTCGAGGAACTAAGGGAGCGGACTCAGGCGGCTGTCCGCAGGCCTGGATCAGTGAATCCCGAGGATGAGAAGGCGATGGAGGAACTTATGGAGGACCTAATGGGTAAGCTCGGGATGGAAAACCCCCAGAAACCTTCAGATACTCCAGAGGAAAACGAGAAGTAAGGCTCCTACGCCGTCTATTCGAACAAGGGCGTCTGCACTGGTACCCCGAGGCTTCGAGATGTAAGATACACTGTAACAATATTGAGAAAGAGGGAACAGCTTCATCTGCGAAGCGAATTCTATTCGCCATCTGACTGGTTACCAAAAGTCATGTCAACTGAGTGCATTCCTGCATTATGTATTTGTTCAGTGGAAGCTGTCAATAGGTCAAAATCTGCCCTTCTTTGCAAACATGCCTTTGATAGCGAAATCTCATTATCAGCCCTACGTCAAGTGAATATGTCATAATGCGCTGGCGAAAACATCCATAATACCATACCGTCCACCTTTATACCTATCGTCCCTTGCAACCCATTACTATGTCCATAACCGACAACAATGCTCCAACGCCTCATCGCCATGCACTTCATCCCGTGTATCCTAATCCTTAAAACTTCTCATACACATCGCGTTCCTTATAGAAATCCCTTTGTAAAACTGGGAACCCTGCTAAGGCTGCTCTTCCTTCCAGGGACGTCGATCATGGACGCATCGTCGCCCTCGCTGACCCGCCAGGGGCCCATGCGACCACGGACACTACCCATAACGCTGCCCGACCCCTTGTCGGCGCGGAGGTTCTTTAGGCCTGCCACTTCACGTTCCAACCGGATAGCCCTCTCCTTCTCCTCCCTTAACTCACGCTCAGCGCGTCGAGCCGATAGCTGGTTGTTGGATTCGGATGACTGTAGCTCCTCGATTGTCTTCAGAAGCTTTTCGACCTTGTCGCGCATCCTTGAGACATCATCCGAGAGCTGCATGTTTTGTTTGTCTTTGCGATCAATCTGACCTTGCATATCCTTCACGATTCGATCCACATTCCGAACAGAACGCTGTGACTTACTACGCTCAGTCTCCTGGTCTTCGAGTTGGGATTCGAGCTGTCTAATGTTAGCCTTGATGCATGTGATAATGGTTGCGAACTGGTGACTCACCTCTTGGATACGCTTGTGCAAGAACTTGACATCTTGGCTGGCACTTGAGTACCCCTTTGTCTCAAGATCAACAAGCTTGAGCTGGGCTTCATTGAGAACCTTCTCGAGCGATGCCTTCTGTTGCTGCAATTTGATGCTGTTTTCACGTTCAATCATGACGTCCTTTTGAACCTCAGCCACAAGAGATTCTGCGCGACGCATCTTCTCCACAGCCGCTGCCGCAATGTCTTCTTGCTGAGCGAGGTTTGACTTAAGATCTAGAATCTCCTTGTCCATGTTGGCGGCGTTGCGCAAAGATGGGCTCTCTCCCTTGACAAGATCCTCCAGACCAGATTTGGCCTCCTCGAGACGTGCCTCAACATTGCGCTTCTCTCGGATAAGGTGGTCACGTTCTGCGGTGATCTCGTCAACTGAAGAGCGAAGACTGCGAACTTGCGACAACAGAGTCACAACCTTGCCCTGGGCTTCGTTGTGTGCATTCACCGCCTCGTCTCGAGAGGAAGCAACATCTGCCAAGGTTGACTCTAAACGAGCCTTCTCCTTGGACCAAGTTGAACTATTGAGAACTTCATCATCCCACTTAGACCTGAGCTCGTCAAGCTCCTCCCGAAGTCGGGCAATCTCGGCTTGCTTGAAGAGTTTCTCCTCACGAGCGAGATCTAGCTCGTTGGTTAGAGTGGCGAACTCGGCCTGGTACTTCTTACGAGTCTGCTCCATGCTTGATTCCTTGTCCTCAATATCTATGGCCCGTTGGTTTCGGTAGTCCTCAAGCTCGTGCTGAAGTCGTTTCTTAGCTTGAGTGGCAGCAGCCAAGTCAGTTGATATATCTTCCACCTTCTCTTCAAGGTGCTGGTTTTGACGCTGGAGGTCCTCGATAGTGGTATCCATCTTCTCGCGCTCGGCCATGATTTCCACATATGTGTCCTCAGCCTCCCTTGCTTGAGACCTGGCAAACTGTTCGGCGCGACTAGCTTTGAGAACGGCGATCTCTGCCTGTTCAAGTTTGCTGAAATACTCGTCTGCTCGGCTCCTGTACATTTCCAAACTGGACGCAACGTCAGCAAACTTGGACGTTTCCGCGTCGAGTCGAATCTGAAGGTCTGCGAATTCCTGAAGAAGCTGGTTCCGGCTCTGCGCCTCTTGTTCTCTCGCCAGAGTCATCTCTTCCAAGTCAGACTTGACATCACGGAGCTCGACTTCTGCCTTAGCACGATCATGTCGCAGTCTCTCGAAATGTCCCTTGATATCTGTCAACTCCGCCACCGCATCCTTATGACTATGAACCAATGCTCGTCGAGAATCCTCTTGGCTGTTGAGCACTTCCAAGATCTCTTCATGAGTCCGAGTTTGGACATCCCGCAACGACAACTGACCGGATCGAATTGTGCGCTCCAGAGCAGATACCTTTTTGTTGGAGTCATCGAGCATCTCGTGAAGACGGGTGTTGACCATCTCAAGCTTTTGAATGCGGCGCAAAGAGGGACTTTCATCGTGACTCTCCGGCACAGGTGTATCACGGTCAATTTGATTCTGGAGATGACGGTTTTGCATTTCCTTAAGTTGAAGTTGGTTCTGAAGTTCCTCAACCTCCGCCTTCAGATCCATGCGATTGTTGAAGTTGAGAGTGTCAATGGTCCGATCAGAACGTGTCGAGTCTTGAAGATGGTCGAGTTCCTGGAAGCGACGTGTGGGGGTCGAAGTGTTGGAGTGGTTGCGAGCGTGAAGCTTGGTTGTCCTTCTTTGAGTTGGTGATCCTTGGAAGGGTGCCTCATTGAGTTGGATCTCCTCGAGCTTAGGCCTGGTCGGAGATTCGTTGCGAGAAGCCCTCATCTCAGTAAGTTGGTTCTCGGCGTTTGTTCGAGCTGCTGTTTGCACACGAAGGTTCTGCTGAAGTTCTTCGACCTTTCTAACGAGATCAAAGTTCTGAATAAGCACTTTCTCATCAGTTCCATCAGACTGAGGAGGGATGTGGACCTCTGGGTCAACAGTCTTTAGGACTTCAAGCATCTGAGCGCGAAGCTCGTTGATCTCCTTGTCCCGTGAATCAACGGACGACTGAAGGGTACGAACTGTAGTCTGGGCTTGAGTTCGGAGTTGTCGCTCTGACTCGATGGTTCGATTGGCTTCGGCCAGCTGTGCAGTGAAGGTAGACGTTGCCTTTTCGGCATTTCTGCTTGATTTGACTTCCCGGGCAACCTCATGGCTTAGATCTTCCAGGTTGAGCTGGAGTTTCTCGGCCCTCTTCTCCAGTGACGCAATGGCAAGCTGAGAATCACCTAGCTGTTTGTTCAACTTCGTGTTTTGCTCTTCAAGCCGTGCTTTTTCGCGCTGGAGGGACTGGATCTGACCTCGAGAGGCCTCGCTTGCACGAGAACTAGAGCGTGCGATTTCTAAGCCTTTCTGCTGCAACTTGTTTAACAGAGCTCGGTTGTCATTTTCCGATGCTGTTAGACGGCTCTTGACAGTCGTCAATTCTCGCTCGAGTCGTTCTTTGGCCTGGTCGTTCTTCAACCCAAACTCGCCTGATTCGAGAATCAACTTGTTGAGGTCCTCAACCTGGTGGTTGAGCTTAGCACACTCCCCTTCGAACCAATGAAGTCGTTCTTGGGCTGCATCAAGGTCCTTGCGAAGGCTATTCTCGCGGTCTTGAGCTGCTTTGGAAGCTTGTCGTTCGCCAGCAACTTCCGCTTCCATTCTCGCTTCCTCAGCCTGGGTTTTGGCTACCCGAAGGCGCCGGATTTCTTGTCTTGCTTCATCCCGTTCCTTTTCTGCCGTTGTCCGAGCCTCCAATGTTCTTCGCAAAGTATCTTGCTGAGCGTACATCTCTTTCTCGATGATAATCTTGGATTCATTGACGCGGTCAAACTCATCTTTCAACTCTTGATAACGATGCTCGCCAAGTAGTTGCACATCATCTCGAGACTGGCGCTCACGGCTCAACTCCATCTGAGTTTTGTAAAGCTCGTCTTTCAGATCTTTAGTTTGTGATTCAAGAACTTGACGGTTCTGGTCAGCTTGAGCATCCTCTGATAGACGTGCTTCCAGGAGGTTTTTGGCATCCTCAGCCTCACGTTCGAGTTGGGCCTGTCGCGACTTCATTGCCACCAACTCCGCTTGCGCTTCATGGTATTTCTCGGCATTCTTCTCTTTCTCGGCGGTCAATGATTTCCTTTGATCCTCCAGAGACTGACGTTCGCTCTCGAAGTTTTTATTATCCGTTCGCAGAAGGGAGAGTTCACTCTCTTTTTGACGCACAAGATCCTCATATTCAGTAGCGGTCTTCGAGAGTTCGTGAAGCTGTTGCTGGATGTCATTGTTTTCTTGAGACAGCTGGGTCTCACGAAGTTTCATTGCTTGAAGATCTCTCTGGGCGGTGTGGAGCTTCAATTCCAGGTCCTGGTCAAGCTTAAGGAGTTTGGTTTCTAGGTCTTGAGCCTTTCTTTCCTTTACAGCTAATTGGCTCTGGAGCATCTTTATCTCATCTTGGAGCACAATTTCTTGCTCACTGCGCTCTGCTTGCTTCTGCGTCATTTCGGTGATTGACTTCTCAAGCTCGGTGATCTTAGTGCTCAGACCGTTCTTCTCCTCCTCAAGCTTGGCAATCAGGGTAGCAGCTTGTTCAAGTTGAGATCGGAATGTTTCGACGTCTCGCTCGGCGCGGTTCTTGGCATTCAGCAGATCGTCCAACTCGTCTTCTAACCTCTCTTGGTCTTCAATTGCGCCTGCAAGCTTCTCCTCAAGCTCTGCTTCTCGAAGCTGAAGCCGCTTAAAGATTTCTTCCTTGTCTAAAGCGAGGGCGCGCTCGCTCTCCAACGTCTGCTGAATTCGAACCATTTCCGCATGGCAGTTTCGTCGCTCCTCCTCCAATTTTAGACGGTTCTCGGATTCGACTTGCATCTTGTCGTTGAGTTCTTTGATCATCGCGTCTCTTCGTTTGACTTCTGTAGCTGTACGAGTTGTGCCAAGGAGAGGCTTCATTTTAACAATCAGTTGCCACCAAGGGTTTTCAGCCAAGTCCAAATAAACATTGAAGTTCCTCTGAATGATTCGTGTGGCCTCTGTGCGGAATAGTCTCTTGTAGGCCGCTCGTCTTTGAACAAATCCTCGAGCCACTGACTGGAATCTGGACATGATCTGAGTAATAAGGGCATCACGTTGCTCCTCAAGCTCAGCGAGAACTCCAGCTCGGAAGAAGACCTTGGTCAAACCGACACGGTACAAAGAGCGATCAAGTCCAAGCTTTTCGAGCATGAGACTAGCCGCCGCTTGACCTTCAAGATAACCCTTAGGCATATTCTGGCAAAGGACCTCATATCGCTGTCTAAATTCTGCAAAAAGAAGTCTGTTGGGGAAGCCTGTCCGAGCAATTCTGATGCCCTCCAAAACACCGTTACACCGTAACTGATCGAGGACAAGAAGATTGTTGAATTCCTTTGGCTTCTTCTTGTGATTAGGGAGAATACATCGAACGAAGTGAGGGTGTGTCAAGTGGAGTTGTGACATGAGACTGTGAAGATGCTCCTTGTGTTTTTGAGCGACTGTCCGGAATAGGCCTCTCTTGACTCTGCTTCTTCCAGTGGCGCGGTCCTCTTCGGATTCAGCACAATCAGAGAAGAGGGAAGCAACGTGTTCGTTCGTAGAAGCGGCGAGGAGGCGTGTGATATTATCGTTGAGGGGGTCCTTGTTTTTCTCCAGCCATCCTTCCGTGGAATACTCGACTTCGGCAGCGTAGTGGGTAAGAATGAAACCCTGTCCAAGACGCGAGGGCCGATATTTTGTTGACTTCTTGTCCCACAAGGAGTTGAGCTTCTCTGTGAATGATTTATCTGTAGCCTTGGGCATAACACAGTCCTCATCCAGACAGGAAAAAACACCGATAGGATTCGATAACTCAATCAAGTCGATTGTGGGCTGTAGGTCGCGTCCAAAATCTATAAACTTCCATTCGATTTGCTCGCGGGCATACTCTTCCTGTTCAAGAACGAACATGTGGTGGTTGAAAAACTGTTGGAGCTTTTCGTTGGTATAATTGATGCATAGCTGCTCGAAGCTGTTTTGTTCGAAAATCTCGAAACCAGCGATATCGAGTACTCCGATAAAGTGCGAATCGTCCAGGCCCATTCCTGTGCGATCAAGCTGTTTGTTGATGCGGGTGACAAGATCACCAAACCCACGTTCATATATACCCTTTGAGAGAGCATCTAAGCTAAGACGAACCTGTTCTGGTGTTTGAACCTTTTCAACCCATTCACGGCCTGCTTTAACCTTGGGATGGAGCAGACCTCTCATAAACGGCTCTAAAGGCACGCCAAGAAGTTTGCATACTTTGGCTGCCTGTGCTTTCGCATCTGGAGCCAGTCGTGCCTGATCAGCAGTTCGACTCTCCTTCACAACATCAATGTTTCCTAGATGTAACACGGCAGCCACTGTTCGCAGAATCGATTTTTGCTCGTCGTCAGAGAAGCCCATCACATTGAATGCTTCCATCAGGGATGTCCATTCTTTAGGGTCCGATACGCCCACGATGCTGTCGTGTCCATCCCGGGTGTAAACAAAATCTTTAACAGTAAGATCATTGAGCAAGAACTCCCTCTTCAAAGAAGAGCTGGCTCCGGTCAGAAGCTGATAGAAGATGTGGTAGTTTCGTTCGTGTTGGTTGATGTGCACAACTCTGGATTTCTCGAGTAGGTACCAATCAATGTAAGCACCGCAAATGGCTCCGTTTCGAGTGAATTCGATGCGGATGAATTTGCCGAATCGAGAGGAATTATTATTGCGAACGGTCTGAGCATTTCCGAAGGCTTCCAAAATCGGATTCGCTCGTAGAATTTGTTCAGAAAGACTAGAATGCTGAGCCTTGTTCTTTATTGTCGAATCTGCTTGAGCTACAGCTGCAAGGTATTGAATGACCTTTTTCGTATTCTCAGTTTTTCCTGCACCGGATTCTCCGGTAACCAGGATGCTCTGATTCTTTCCTTCCTCAACCAGGTTCCGGAAAGCTTCGTCGGCCATGGCAAAGATGTGAGGTTTTGTATCTTCTCTGCTGCGTCCTCGATACATATTGATGTAGTCATTGTTGTAAATGGGGATTGTCGCATATGGGTTGACAGTGACGAGGAAAAGTCCTGAGTATGTGTATATTAGGTCGGTTTGGTATCGCATATGAAGGTTGTGGACGACAGATGCCTCGTTCAAGTGCGTCAACTCGGCCATATCGTTTGCCTTGTCAAACTTGGCTGGGTTTACTTTATCGACACTCTCGGCGTCGACTTCTCGTTGCTAAATCATGATTAGACTTGAAAGGTATGCCGGTTTCCGGGCCATACTCACTGTGCCATCATCGCATTGAACAAGTAACCGGTTTCCATCCATCTCTTCAACGATCCATCCGCGAACGAAGGCCGTCTGGGGGTCCTTAAGCCAAACATAGCGCTTTCCAGAGAAGTCATTTTCGCCCTCGATGCCATTGACTTCGTCCTGGCTTCGTATCATCTCCTCTTCCTTGATGAAGGACGGAGCAAATGTCGTCGATGTTGGCGTACCACTCTTCGAGTCGCTACGCAGCCTCGTTTGTGCACCCGAGAACTCTCGACTTATGGCCGAGACCGAACCATTTGATTGTGTTCGGTTGTGTACAAATGATGAAACAATGCCGGGAGTTGATGATGGGGAAGTAAAAATGGCGGACTTGGGTCGGGGATTGGTGCTTGTGCCCGGAGAGGCAGAGGCAGTTCTGGCGAAAGGATTACTGCGCCGTTGCGCTGTGCCATTGGCGTTGAAAGACATCGCGAATGACCTGCATGAACAATTCGTGGTTTCAAACCTCGTAGATGGTTCACTCAAATCCACGTAGTACGCTCGCGTAAGTAAACAAATCAGGATAAGACAAACAGAATATAGAAGAAGAACCTTCAATCTTCTACCATGTATATGTTGCAACTGCAACGGAAAAATGCGATATATCGGGATTCACCCTTTCACGAACAGTGTCATGGAGCAATGCAATGCAGGTCTTGAGATATAGTGCCGGTTCCGGACTGACATCAACATCAGGGATCAGGCCGGGTCGTTGCTGGGGAACTGCGGTAAGCATAAACAAGACGTTTGCACGTGATATCGTCGTCATTTCGACGCTAAGCCTTATACGATTAGACGCGATTTCCTTTCAAGAAAGATTGAATTAATCTTTGATCCTTCAAAATACCTAGTGCCAGTCGCGTTTCGAGCATCAAATTGGATTTCATTGACACAGGCCATCAACCAGCACGTAAAGAAATAGATTTTGCACGACTCAGACAATTCGCGGCCTTTTTACTCGTCCGGCGACTTTCAGGGCCAAGGCTTTACACTTTGCGACAGAGCAATCGAGCACTTGCTTTCCCTCTCGCATCACCAGATTACCACGTGCCCTAACAATTGCCAAGAACGGTCAACGCCTCTGTTGCTTCTTGCCATACTCGATCAACACATGCTGTGAAGTCGATATGAGCCAATATGCTTATGGTCATGGGGCTCCCCACACTGGTTATCAAACTTCACAACCACACCTTTACTCGTCAGATCAACCATATGGTCAACCGCCGTTCCATCCGAATGGGGTTGTAGAAAACCAGTCTATTTACAGCCAGGGAACTACTGAGGCATATGGATACAATCAGACGACTATACCTGGCTTAGGCATGGGCTTTACTCATAGCGCCGCAACTTGGCAGCACGCAGCCGCCCAGAGCTTGCCTGGAACCCACGCCGATCCAAGTGCTTCAGTTGTGCATTGGCAAACCAGTCAAATCGACGGGAACGCTAGACCGGGGAGTTCTACATCAGCCAGTCAGCGGCCCAACTCGGCAGGGGACAATAAGACGATGGAAGAAGGTGAGCTAAGCGAAGGCGAACTTGAAGACATATACGAACCCACCGAAACGGAAGCAAACAGATCTGACCAGCCTGGTGTTCAACCGCCGGGTTCGATCGACCAGAGCGACAGGTCACAACTACCTATGGAGAATTTGGAAGCTGACCATGACCGAACATGGAACTCGAAACAATCTGGGCGGGAGCGTTCCGGTTCTTACTCGCCTTATCTTTCACCTCGTGAGATACAATCGAGCGGCCTTGAGAATGGCGCATCCAATGCCCGTATGTGATGCTTTTCATACAAACTCTGGCACAGATGTTAACTATCGCTAGATACCCCACAGAGCGGCTTTTACGATCACAACAAGAGTATGGTTATGAACAGCAACGGCAATGAATCCCCAAGCCAGAACGAAACCAAAGATGGACCCACAATCATTTCCGAATCTAAGAAGCATGCGCAAGATGCGATCCTTTGTCTCTGGCCACTCAACGTCCGTTACCAAAATTATATCGAAGAAGGCGTCGATCGGGACCTCCTCGATCAGCTTTTCACGGAACTGGGCCTCGAACTAGACCCTGCTGTTCCACGCGCAGAACAGTCAAGATTGCCGATGTTGTCACAAGTAAACACGCCACAGAGTGATTTAATCGGCACAGTTCCCTCCTCAGGACAAACAACTCCCCTTGCCGTCACCATAGCGCCAAAAGTTACTCCTTCGGCGAAAGACAAAGCAGAAGAACGAAAGGATCGAATTGCACGTCTGCTGGCTGCGAAAGGCTCCAAAGCGACAGTAGTAGATGCAGTCTCAAACAAGACTGGCACATCGACACCAGTTTCTAACAATGTCATGAGTACCACAAAATTCGACAAAGCGAAGGCTCAATCAGAGAAGTCGAAGCTGATACAACAAAGGATGGAAGCATTGATCAAAGCGCGGGAAGCAAATGCAAAGACTCCTCAATCTTCTACGCCCCCAGTATCTTCAGTGTCCCAACCTGTGCCTGACACAAGTAGGTCGAACAGCCAGGCGCCTGTTGATTTGATGAACGTCAACGATCACATCGACGCTGCCGCAGAGACAACGGACCCGTCTTCAGGGCCCCCGATTCCTGGTTTGTTTTTGTCATCCAGCGTAACTTCTCCCGTCCCTAATCAACGCAAACGACCTGTTGCAGCTGATTTGAACGAAAACTCCATCCCCAGCATTCAGAAACGTCCTTTCGGCCAGACTCGAGAGTCTCGCCCATTCTTGATTGATGTCAGTGATGATGAAGATGACGCCGAGATGGAAATTGACTCCCCTGAGCTGCGCCCTTTATCAGTGCAGCGGCCTGTGACACCCGGCTCAAGAGCGTTGTCATTTCGCGACGGCATGTCCTTGCCCGACAGTTCATCCCGCAGTGCTGGTAGCATGATCGACTTAGCAAGTATGAACAGGAAGATTGAGGATATGAAACGAAAAATTGCCGAGGCCGAGGCTCGTAAGAAGAAGGCAAAGCAATCAGGTAGCGGCTCGCCTTTGCCTCAATCTGAAACACAATCAAAGGAAGGCAGTGCAGATGTCGCTGCCCCCCCTACGCCTCCAGTGCGTGGTGCGTCAACTATAGCTGAAGTGGTCCGGAACAGCCCAACATCTATCGCACCACAGCCTGGTATCTCACCTGGTGTCGTTATCAAACCGCCAAAAGTCAGAGAGCAGCGTCTGCAGGCCAGGCCTTCGCTGCGTGCTCGTGTTGCTAGCGAGCGCCTGCCCATCGTAACGGCACAAAGAAAGGAGTGCCAGGAACAGCTTGAATATTATCAATCCGAAGTTGCTAGAGTCAAAAAGGAAATTGAGAACAAACTGGTTGAAGAGGAGCGACTTCAGAGAGATGCCAAACAAACCGAGCCAACACTATCGCCAATTTCAACGGGGCAGGATGAGCTTGAACCCGGGCTTCATGACGAAAGATCTTCAGGTATGAAAACGTCATGGTTCAGAGACGCCATCTTTCGCGCGTAAGTTCACGCTAATTTTTCTTCAGCTGATCCGTCACCGCAAGTACCAGTCACGCATGATGCGCCGCTCCTTACAGAACCCGACGAAAGGAATGAACCCGGGGACGAGGTTGAACGAGATGTGCCGATGGATGAATCTCCCTACATTGAATCAGCTGTCAGTCATGGATCGAGTACGCCTCAACAAGACGAATCGCAAATGCACGAGGAACCCCTCATCGATCATGAAATAGTTGAAGGACACTCGCCACTACCAACACGATCACCATTGATAGATGATATGGTTGGCGCACATGTCGAAACCCCAACTGATACCGAGGAACTGGAAGAAGACGTAGCTATGGACGAGGCTGATACTTCTAGCGAAGAAGAGAGTGTGGTTGAAGACGAATCTGACGACTATGAGCCGACTAATGCTGGCGTCAGTCTGCCAGACTCTCACTCACCTTTTCAGCGTCAACCATCACCTCAGCGAATCTCGGATGACAGTACAGTATTAGAGACGAGTGATACTGATTTACAGGGCTTGGCAACAGTCACACCGATCACTAAGCCCATATCAACGGGTGCTGGTGACACAGAATCAGAATCTAATCGAGAAGTAGACACACTGTACCTTCCAGGCGGGATGTGGAGCTGACTACTATACAGGCGGAAACCCAAAAGTCTTCGGAAGTTAGTAATACTGCTAGAACGACATTGGTACCATACGAAACGCCCCTCCAATACTTCAAAGCATATCGCTTTCATCCTCAGTATAGCGATTCTGTTGCAGGGGGTCTACGCTCCCTCACCTACAGCAATAACATCGACGTAACAAGGGAAGTATGCCCTGACCAGCTTGCCCACGGAGTTTGTCCTAGGGGTAGCGAATGCCAATTCCAGCATTTCGAGGACATGCAACTTCCGGGTACGTGCCATCAAGATCTTTGATCAACTCATCAGACAAATACGAGCCGAGGCACATGCCAATGGAGGGGATGCTAACATGCCGACCGGCAATAGATGACCAAATTCTTGTTCAACTTGGGGCCTCCGGCAATCCTGAGACCGAGCATCAGGACCAGTATGTTGCTGGACTTCGCGAATTACTTAAAGATTTTCGCAACCGCAAGGTGAAAGACTTTCAGGAGATCAGCCAAGGTCTCATCGAGTATCGCGCCAGATTCCTCCGCGATAAGACGAAAATCCTTCCCCTGAGCGGCGTCACCCTATAAAAACGTCACTCTTAGAAAGTCTCTACTCTTCCACGTAACATCAACAATGTCCGTCCGCCTGTGAACCTCACGTCGATCTACATTGCACTTTTAGTGGATCAAGACTGGTTAAAACACAAATTCACAATTGAGCCGGCATATTCATGGCTATCTCGTATGTGATTTGATATTGACCACTGAGGCTAACGTCTGTATCTGAAATGCGAGTCTGCAGAGAGACACGTCACTGTCTTATTCTTTGCAGTGCCTTAATATTAGTGCTTTAGGGTTCATGAGAAAAAGCCAGGAAGGGGTGAAAAAAAGAAAGAGGTTATCGAACGACAAAAAGTCGACGAGTTTGAATCAAGAGGAGGCATCTGGGATGACCAAAGAAATGAAAGGAGTAGCCAGCCATTGGCTCGCCTACAGAGCGACCAGATAGGTCATGCGTAATATGGCAAAAGCGGTAGTAAAGTATTATTGCTTCGAACAAAGTAATTAATGAAATTCATAACATCAGTATTCACTTGTATGGACTGTGAAGCATTTGCGGTTATTGTGGTTGACCCAAATTTGCTATCGTTGTGCTATTAATGTGCAACTTGGTGATCTTTGAGGTTTTACCTGGCAGGGCCTCGGAACGCCCTGTGGTTCCGCTTCAGGCTGTTATAGGTTTGCAAAGTGGAGAATTATGTTTATTCATGGGATAGTCTTTGGGGAATTATTTTCAAATCACTACACTCGGCCACGTTTGAACAGTCAACTCGACAATACTACGTCTTCAAACACAGTTTATAAGCAAGTCCGAACTAGCACCGATTCGCAAAGGGAAGAACTGCAATGATGTAATATCATTCGTCAACACTTTGAACTAACTGTCTTGAGAATGACGACGTTCTGACGGAGCGGGGCATCTGAGAACTACCCCACCTCAGGATAGCGAAGCTCCATGAGACGCTGAAGTGTCCAACAGCTTGTGAGAGCCCAGTAGGATTGGCTGGAAGCCTAGAAACTGTGGAAAGGTTGTGGGCGGGTTGTTAAGTACCTAGGCAATTGATGTCCAGTGAGAGCCAAGGGTCCGCTGGCAACGAGGAAGAGTAGGTAATCCAGGAGCTGGTGGAAAGCTCTTTGTCCCGTCTGAAGCTCGGGTATCGCGCTGTTTCGGACCCCGATTTCTCTTCAAAACTCCTCTCTCCTCCCCTCTCCACTTGCATCATTCAATCTTCAACTGCTTCATTCCTCTACCTAAATTCCCCGAAATAAAAACCAAAAACCGTCAAAATGGTCAAGGCTGGTAAGATCTCACGTCCTACGTTTGTTCCTGGTTCTACAGAGGGTGGCTCTCTTTATAGAGGCTAATTAGCCACGTCTACGACATACTGAGAGGGGTTTCGAGCTGGTTTGAGCGAGTTTCTCAGCTCTCGTCCAACGAGACAGCGTCTACTATCCGCAATGTACCTTGATGGGCTTTATACATGCCCTTACAGGACGTGGTGGGCGTTGAGTCCCTTGATGGGTTTTGCGCATCCACGGCTACCGTCACGCCCATCATCGTCGAGCTTCCTCCTAGCTTCCGAACTACCTGATCCCTGAGGGCTGGAGTGTCATGGCTTAGCAAACAGTCTTGTGCTTTGAACACCAAGCTAACATATTTCCCTACAGTGAGCGTTCTCCGCGGTGACTCCAAGGTCTCCGGTACCGTCGTCTTCGAACAGGAGTCTGAGTCTGCTCCCACTACCATCACCTGGGACATCACCGGTAACGACCCCAACGCCAAGCGAGGATTCCACATCCACACCTTCGGTGACAACACCAACGGCTGCACTTCCGCTGGCCCTCACTGTGAGTCTGTTCCTGCATGGTACTCCGATTTCTGCATTAGATTATCGAGATCGGATAATCGCCCGCTAGGTTTCCGAATTAGTTCAATGATCTAACAAGCTCAACCATAGTCAACCCTCACAACAAGACCCACGGTGCTCCTTCTGACGAGACCCGTCATGTTGGTGATCTCGGAAACGTCGAGACTGACGCTCAGGGCAATGCCAAGGGCTCCGTCACTGACTCTCTTATCAAGCTGATTGGCCCCCACAGCGTCATTGGCGTGAGTAGACTTTATAGTTATGCTCTGGCTGATAGAGCTCGGACTAACAAGAGTATAGCGAACCGTTGTTGTCCACGCTGGTACTGACGACCTTGGCAAGGGTGACAGCGAGGAGTCTCTCAAGACTGGTAACGCTGGTCCCCGACCTGCTTGTGGTATGTGCATATTACCCGTTTTCTGGTAGATTGTGACTAATCCTTTTATCAGGTGTTATTGGTATCTCCAACTAAGCAGTGCCGAACTGAATTGAATGAAGAAAAATGCCATTACTCAGTTGCTTTTGTTTAGCAAATTTCAGCCATGAGCAATGATGTGTCTCATGATATTCGATAGCAACAATCAATCCAATTCAAGTGATTCCATAATTTTGATCCTGTTTAATTGACTGACTGTCTGGCGCCTCTCATCAGCTAGAATAAGTTGAAGCAGCAGGCCATCATCAGTGTTAATGTGGATGTACCCACGTCATGTTGCCACGCGAAGTATGAGGGGTTCCGAAGATCAGTCCATTATATGAATATAAAGTGTCAGGCTCTAGGTTATACTCAGCCACTTCGCATGGATGCAAGTGAAAGCAATGTGTACAAGCTCAATTTAAGGGAATATTGTCAATTGGCCACTTGTCACCCTTGGATAAGCTTCAAAAGAACATCTGGAGCTCTTGGCCGAAAATAGTTCGAACTCGAAAGAAGCTCTTAAAGCTCTAAAGTACCTACGCTGAGGTTAATTGGACTGCTGTAGGGTGCCTGATACCCCGCGGTCAACCTCAACAACCCCTGAGCTTCGTCCCCACATTGACCCTCTAGCGGCGAAACTTGCCATTGGGGCCACCTTGCCATAAGAAAGGCACCTCACACGATCTCGACTACAACTCCACATACTTGGATGAAGCTCTCCCTTTCTTCCTTCGTTTTCTCCTATCTTGCTGTCCTTGTTTGAGTTCAATCCTAATTTCTCAACAAGGCTCGAATCAGAAATACAATTTTCTTCCTCCAGTTCAGGTATGTTGTACCACAACCCGAGAGTTTCTATTCTGTTCTTTCTCCTCATATAGCGGTATCATGTGCATAGAGGAGCTTGGAGCTGGGAGCCTAGCTCCTTCTTCTGTTCAGACTCTCTTAGGAACCGTACCTGCTTTCCAAACGGCAGTGCTTCGCCTCTAAACATTGGACTAACAATAAGGTTATACAAACAGGTCTCTCCACCTCGTCTCACTGTCTTCGTCATAATGTCCAAATCTTTTATCGGAAATGTCAAGAGTGTGCTCAGTGGTGACACTCTGATATTGACCAGCCCCAACAACCCGAATGCCGAGCGAACCCTGTCCCTTGCCTATGTCACAGCTCCCCATTTGAAGCGCGAGGGCGACGAGCCTTTTGCCTTCCAGTCTCGCGAGTACCTCCGAAACCTTGTTGTTGGAAAACCCGTCCAGGCAACTGTTCTCTACACGATTCCTACATCTGGCCGTGAATTTGGAACTGCTCAGCTCAAGGATGGCACCAACCTTCCCGATGAGCTTGTAAAGGCTGGGTGGTTGAAGGTCCGTGAGGACGCTGGTCGCAAAGAAGAGTCCGATGAGGTCCTCGATCGCCTCGAGACTCTCCGCCAGCTCGAGAATAAGGCAAAATCCGAGGACAAGGGTCTCCATGTTGGAGTTGGTGGTATCATCGAGGTTCAGAATGACCTTGGTGGCCCCGAATTCATGAAAGAATGGAAGGGCAAGACTGTTGATGGTGTGGTGGAGCGCGTTCTCAGTGGTGATCGTCTCCTGGTACGACTTTTGCTCTCGGAGAAGAAGCACGTCCAGCCTATGACCTTGATTGCTGGTATCCGAACGCCTTCCACCGAGCGAACACTTCCTTCTACCGGTGCTACCCAGCCCGCTGAGGAGTACGGAAACGAAGCTAAAGCTTTCGTCGAGTCAAGATTGCTCCAACGTCAGGTCAAGGTCGAGATCGTTGGTGCTAGCCCACAGGGCCAACTTGTCGCCGCCGTTATCCACCCCCGCGGAAATATTGCCGAGTTTCTATTACAGGAAGGTCTCGCACGATGTAACGACTTCCACTCTACCCTTTTGGGCGAGAAGATGGCTGCTCTCCGTACCGCTGAAAAGCAAGCTCAATCCAAGAAGCTCCGAATCCACAAGCATCACGTTGCCAAAACTGAAGGCGGAAACCAGGATGCGACCGTTTCCAAGATTATCGGAGCCGACACTATTCTCATCAGAAACAAGGCTGGAACGACGGAAAAGCGCATCAACCTCAGCAGCGTACGAGGACCCCGAACTACAGAGCCTTCCGAGAGCCCTTTCCGTGAGGAGGCCAAGGAGTTCCTTCGCGGGAAGCTCATTGGAAAGCAAGTACGCATCAGCATTGATGGCAACAAGCCTGCGACAGAAGGATTTGAGGCCCGAGAAGTTGCTACCGTCACCGAGAAGAACACCAACATCAACCTCCTCCTAGTCGAGAATGGATGGGCCTCAGTTATCCGACATCGCAAAGATGACACTGACCGAGCCCCGAACTACGACGATCTTCTTGCTGCCCAAGAAAAAGCGAAGGATGAGAAGAAGGGTATGTGGTCTGGCAAGCCTCAGAAGGCCAAACAGTACACCGACCTTTCGGAGAACACACAAAAGGCCAAGATTATGTTAGCTACGCTACAACGGCAAAAGAAGGTTCCTGCTATTGTTGACTTCTGCAAGGCCGGTTCAAGATTCACAATCTTGATTCCCCGCGAGAATGTTAAGCTGACCATGGTCTTGGGCGGGATCCGTGCCCCTCGAGCTCCCCGAGCCGACGGTGAGGGTGGTGAGCCTTTCGGTAAAGAAGCTCTTGATCTCGCCAACCGTCGCTGTAACCAGCGCGATTGCGAGGTCAATATCCATGATATGGATAAGGTTGGTGGCTTCATTGGTGAGCTCTACATCAACCGTGAGAACTTCACCAAGGTCTTGGTCGAAGAGGGACTCGCTTCCGTTCATGCTTATTCTGCTGAAAAGTCCGGCAACGCTACCGAGCTCTTTGCTGCTGAGAAGAAGGCCAAGGAGGCCCGAAAGAACTTGTGGCAAGACTGGGACCCATCTCAAGACGAGGAGTATGAAGAAGAGGATGTTGCCGAGGCTGCACCCGAGGCCGACGTGTCTATTGACAAGAAACCTACCGACTATCGCGATGTCATCATCACCAATGTTGATACCAATGGAAAGATCAAGGTCCAGGAAATTGGCAAGGGAACAGCCGCTCTGGAAAGCTTGATGAGCGAATTCCGAAAGTTCCACCTGGATTCCAAGAACAACAACCCTCTCAAAGATGCGCCTAAGACAGGAGAGTACGTGTCGGCCAAGTTCTCTGCTGATGGCCAGTGGTACCGAGCTCGGGTGAGGGCCAACGACCGCACTGCCAAGAAATCCGAGGTTGTCTACATTGACTATGGTAACAGCGAGAAGGTTTCCTGGACCAGCCTGCGAGCTCTGGACCAGCCCAAGTTTGGTGCGCAGAAACTGAAGGCCCAAGCCATTGACGCTTCCCTGTCATTTGTCCAGCTCCCCACTGGCGCTGATTACTTTGAGGATGCCATCGGTTACATCTATGACATTACCGAAAATAAGCGACTCGTTGCCAGCTTTGACTTTGTCGACAGCAAGGAGAACGTGAGCTATGTCACGCTATACGATACTGGATCTTCGGGTGAACTGCCCGGCCCCAACGACTCGGTCAACAAGGAGGTTGTTGCCGGCGGGTACGGCATGGTGCCCAAGAAACTCAAGGCTTGGGAGCGCAGCAAGGTCTTCGAGCCTACTCTGAAACATCTCAAGGAGGTCGAGGCCCAGGCCAAGCAAGATCGCCGTGGCATGTGGGAGTATGGAGATATTACTGAGGACTAGATTACCTCTGATTTGAAGTTGATTACGTAGCAATGGCCTTGGTTACGAAAATTTTGTAAGCATATACTATACAGATGAGGTTTCAAACAGGGAAAATCCAAAGCACAATAGTGTCCAGACACAGTCTTGTGCTGACATTCACTATGCTATGTATAACAGAAGAAGAGAAAAGCGTCAATAGGAGACAAATTTTTAGTAAAACATCGAGCGTCCTTCATGCATTTGACTAACATCAGCATAAGCAGCTGCTCATATTGTGCATGTTTAACGCCA